TTCCCGCGTCATTCGTGATCGTGATGATACCCTTTTCTTACAATCCTTTTCGGCTTTCCACGCCACCTTTGTTTTCGAACCGAAACAACCGGATTTGGCACCTCTTCAAAGGTTCAATGGAAAAAGGCACAACACAATAGCATGGCATTGGAGTCCTGGCATCTAGTTTCGCTTCCAACGTTTGATCTTTCGCATGTTCTGGCCTCATGCATTGGTGGCAAAGGTGGTTGTGCTTTTCACTTCTACCCATTCCAACATTTCTCTCAGCTGGCCTGGCGGTCGGGGCGTTCTATCTGCATAGCTCCAAATGGGCGCACGGCATAAATACGACACCACATACACTGGGCTCTAGTGTAAGGAAATAGGTCAAACGCGACAGCATTTGATACTAATGAAGCGACGACGCAGACATATGATAACTAGGTCGTGTATGTATACCTATGTAGTAGTCTACAAGAAAAGGAATAGACCCAAATTCAAACAAGCTCTGACGTCTTCTGACTTCTCACTATGGCTATTACCTAGAATACTCAGTTGCAATGCTCATGGATACACATGAATATCTCATTTCAAAGGGATACTGATGTCTGATGTAATTTAGATGTTTGTGGCATCGTATGATATCTACAGGAAGCTGGTGTCTTTGTAGCGCATTGACTGGAAGTGCTGCAAGCTGCCAACCGTGCCATTCATCTCGTGAGATGCCCTCTTCTGGGCCTAGTTCTGCCTGTGCTCTTGTTTCTTATTGTCACATCGAGGGCGTGAGAATGGTAAATGCAGATGACTCGATTTCTTATTATTATTATTATAAAGATCCAGTACCTTGAGCCGAAGAACGACGGCGTCGGAGGCGCTCAAGTCTACTAGACTATTGGTCGTTCCTCTTTACGCCTTTCATAGACTTATCGAAATAACCTAAGACGGGCCTGGCTTTTTCGTCGAAGGGTTCAAAGTGCACACCCATCTTAGGCTTCTCAAAGCATCCTAGGACAAGCTCCCCATCGAAGGGTTCAAAGTGCAATAAGCGTGGCAGGCCCCGAAGCGCAGGTTGTTTTCGTTCCGGTTTTCTGGCTCTGCGAAGAACACCCGACTATCGCCAGAACCACAATTCACACACGCTCGGTCTGCGACAGGTGAAATCTTGGATGCTCTGCAGCAGTTGGGTACCGGGCCGGTACGCACTGTATGGGGCGCCTTCGACGACAAAGCCGTCGCCGCCCTGGGGAGTCGGTACCGGAAGCACCCTGGGTAGCAGCGCATGGGCCGCCCTGAATAACACAGCCACTCTGGAAGGCAGTACCAGGGCCATCCTGGGCAGCATAGCCGGAACCAACCTGAACAACAGTACCGGTGGCGCTTTGCTTAGGTTCTTTAGCCTTAGCCTTTCCTTTGCCCCTGCCCTCATACTCGCCCTCGCCCTCGCCCTCGCCCTCGCCCCCAGCGACAGCGACAGCGGCAGCGGCCGGGGCGGGCCCGGACCCTATCACCTTGCCGATACGTGATGCTGCATATGGATTATAATCTAAGGTCCGGAAACCCAGTCTCGATCGTGTCGACAGGTGGGAAACTTGAATAGTCGAGTCCCACTTCATCATCGACAACAAGCTGGTGTGCCCAACTAGTCTTCACCGTGACAACTTGAATCACTCACTTCAGCAAACCCCAAACACTGATAGTCCGATCGAACCCAGACTTCCTATCTGCCCTTGATGATAACTTCTTTTTTTTTTCGCACTCGTCAGGGTAGGTGAATAGGGGTAGAATTAAGGGGCAAAGGCAATGACTAGCCCCATACTCGGGAAGGTAGCGTCGCAGCAGCCTCTGTCTTTGCGGCGATACGATCAGCGCTTTCAATGGCCTTCTTCAGTTGATCTATGCAACATTCTCATTTCCAAATGAGTTTATTTCACCGGTTTCCTGATTAATGATGCCATGAGCCGTTAGTGACAGTGACGGTCATAGACGCTGCCTACATCCCCCACCACGCCCTCAAGCCACAGTAGGCTTTGCATATATCTCCAAGGATATCAGCAGGGTAGCGTTTATGCGTTCGATATGTGCCATAACGTTATGTTCTTTTTGTTCGGCGTCAGTGTTGCTCTGAATATTGTATCATGGCCAGACACATTTGAGTGTCGACATGGTACCACTTCAGATGGCGGCTAACTGATACCATTGTTCATGAACAAGCATGACGTTTGGTCGAACTTCACTTAATGATGGGATAGTCGTCTCGAATAGGGAAGATATTCCAGCCGTGCGTCCTTAATATCAGGGCTACCATCGTTTCGGTACGAGTGGGATAGGTGGTCATCATTTCTGTCACATTCTATTCTCATCACAGAAAAGGATCCTTCTCATTAAGAACAGCTATTCCTAGGAGACATAATAGGAGACACCCCAGTTGTGACGCCGAATTTTGGTGCTTCAACTCGGATCAAGGGAATCTGGCCTGGCATAGTTGTCATACTCTCATGTTCAACGACTTATGGCATGTGCTTAGGGTCAGTGAAGTACTAAGCGGGAGGTTGGGGATGTGAGTTGACAGGATCTCATCAGCGGATCTGATAAGGTTGATTCACTGTAACGGCCAATCAAGTCGAAGTAGCATAATAGCACCTCCTAACCCGAGCTCAGTCACTGAAGAAGTTTCGAGTTTGATCTCTTGAGAGAAGAATGCGATAAGCGCGATCTCATTGCGACAGTCACCACGGAAATTTAAGATATCATATTATTTAGCAAACTGTGCGATCGATTTTTCCCTGTAGGCTGCCGTATCTCAAGGGTTTGTTCTCCAAGTTGCCCCAAATGAGGAAATGATTCTCACGAGACGCCACTTTGTGAGACAAGGATCGATCTATTGTGATAGATCACTTGAATCTTGGGGTCCAACGCCCCGCATCTCTTGTAAAGCATGTGTGTTATCCTTGTAACGTGGACATATTCGGATATGAGAGGTTCATGTAAAGACGAAGCGTTGTGATGTGAATCAATGCATAACTCGTTGCTAGTTCATCGCCCATTAATCTCTCTAGGCACTCTACCTATCATGATACCGAGGATGATACCTTCACAGAATATTTTCTCTTCATACCTCGAGATCCTCTGCAACTTCCGTCCTCCGCGTTTTTGGTAATTTGCTTCCCCGACAGAAACGCATAGAACTACGTAGAAACAGGAGCTCGTGCAAAGATCTCACTGAAGAGAACGAAAGGAAAGGAAGGAAAGGTGTTCGAAGAATGCCACCTAAGACACCTAGGCTTCTCCATAAGCCAAATCGCCATCATCCTCCTCCTTCTCCTTCTTAACGGCAGCCTTGGTGTTCTTCCGGGCACGGGGCCGCTTGGTGGGGGTGTCCAGTACTTCGACGTCGGCGGACTCCATCTTGCGCTTCCGACCAGTGCTTTTGGACTTGACAGGGGTGGAAATAGAAGGACCGGCAGCAGCTATGGCGAGTAGCTTTCTCTCGATGGGCTTCCAGGCGTGTCGCGCCGAGTCACCGCTAGCGTAGTTTCCGAGCTCAGCGAGCTTCTTGGAGTCGATCTGCGAGAAGTTAGCGAATCGGTCGCGAGACCAAAGGAAAACCTGGTGGGTGCAGCTCGGGCCCCGAGGGCCGTGCATAATATTTTGTGAATGGTAGGATGCGGGGCGTGAACCGAGAGTCAGGCTACGTAGGGCTGAACGACGGGGTGACTTGGTTTCTTACCACAGGTACGCCGTTCTTGAGTTGAACGATGCAAAGCCACGCTTTGGCTACGACCTCAGTCTCACGCTGGGTCAGCTGGGGTTGGGCATCGTTGGCCTCGGGCTTGGTCGGAGTAGACGTCATCGTGAACTTGTTATTGTCAAGTTTTGTGATCGTAATGGAATGTTAAGTAGAGATGGTATTGGTAGGTGCGTGTGTGAGAACGGCAGGTGTAGATGACTCGATGTTTTTTATGGGAAGAAAATCAGCGATCAACTTGTGGCGGGGAAGAAATAGGAAGTTAATCATTCGAAAATCAGTTCGGCGTTGCTTGGGGGAGAAGTTGTTCATTCACAGTGATGTACCTGTTGCCAAGGGTATAGATACCGGTCATATCACGTGGTGGTGTGCTATGATCACAGCCCAAACGAATCGAAATATGACAGGTAAGGTGCGTAGCCTACATCTATTTCTGAACAGTAGGTATCAGTAAGTGAGAGCCTTGCTGCTGATTAGCGTCGTCGCTGCCGTCCACTGTGACTATTCGCAATCCTTGCTGCTCTTTGCGACTGCCTGGCAAGCTGTGCATGAGGCCGTATCTGCCACCTCTTCCATCAAGATTCTGTATGTATGCCTTCCAAGGTTCCTACCTTCTATATTTTCGTTACGGACATAAGAGGGTCTGCTACTTGTAGGTAGTATCACCACCTAGGCAGATTAAAGATTGACCTTAGAAAATTTCAAAGTCCTGAGGTTATTATATTACAAATGTGAATAGACATCTCTGTCATATATTTAGCAAGTAGCTTCTTTGTTCGGTTTGACATAGAAGATCTCAGACTTAGGTATCTACCTAGGTAGACACTTTATATAACATCAATCTTGACACGGTCATCGCCGTGAGCAGTCAATGCTATTGAGCAATTATGGATTTCAAAAGTTCATAAGCTTGGATTTTAAATACGTAGTCTAACAAATCAGTCACATCATGTTCATATATTACTTTTTTATTTTTAATATAGCGCTGTATTCCCATTCACTTGTACTCTGACTCACGATGTTACCGTAAAATCAAAGTTGTAACATAGGAAATGTCTCGGCCTCAGTATCACTTCTAACTACCTACACATTGTCTTTTGATTTTCTCTTTTTCATAAGTTTTAACTAACTTTCTAAACAGTCAACACCCCAATCTTTAAGGGGGCCCGACGACTGGAGTACACCCGCTTAGGCTACGCTAGCGAAGCTAGGTTGCTATATCGAACTAACTCGCAAAAATTTTCATTCAACAGGTCTGATAAAGACGCCCCATCGATCCGAATTGGTGTAGTGGCTAACATTTGGTGCTCTCATTAAGATATAGAACAACTGTCTGAGTGACCCGCCAAGCCCGGGGTTCGATTCCCCGATTCGGAGTTCTTTTTGCACCCATCCTCTCTTTGAAACTCTTCTCTCAAACTAGAAACTTGTTCATGAATCCTACTTAATTTGATAGCTACCTTAGGTAGATACCTAGGTAAGCATCCACGAATACCTTAGGTATCTTCCTTGGTCTACCGCTTTGCTAGGAGGTAGCCACTGTGCCTTCGTTTTTGAATCGTACATTCAGCTCACTAGCAGGTGATATCAAAACTTCCCAGCAACAATAGCTGTAGTCTTTCTTTCTCGCTAGTTGAGAGGTTTCATTTTGCTAGAGAAACTTTATTCCCATGATTTGTCTTGTCTTGGTCGCCAATGTGTTAGCCACTTCACCAAGTCAACACCAACACAATCTACTTAGCCCGCAGAAAGGGAGTTATGACTATAACGGGCTCAATGGTCTAGTGGTAAGATTCGCGCTTCGGGAGTTCGATCCTAAATGCGCGAGACCCCGGGTTCGAATCCCGGTTGAGCCCATGTTTTTGAGAAATATAACCCTTTTTGTTCCTGAGCATTAAGTCTTGTTGGCCTCTTCGTAATCCATTTTCTTAATATTACAATGACCATGCATTTGTGGAACGGGTTCATGAGATTAGAGTCGTCTTCAGTTTGCCCTGTTCACATGAAATACGGGTAAGGATTTTGGCTTACTGCTCATGCTGTAACGGCCTCCACTTCGCTACCTTGGTATCCATAGGGAGAAAACATACACCTCCACCAACGGGAAGCTCTTTCTTTGAAATGAATGGCCCCATCTCTGCCGAGGTGGAAGCTATAAAGGCTGGGGTTGAGATGAGGCTCCGTTAAGTTAGAACGGGCTGGATCATCCGGTTTGAAAGGGATATCTAGAAATTCCCTGCAGCTACCTTTGGGGCGCTTTTTCCGTTGTGCTGAAAAATCTGGTGATAGGTATTGATAAGTAGGGTAGGGGGATTTCGTGGATTGCGAAAATGTTCCGACAACCTACCTCATGCGGATACCCTTCAGTCGTGAAGGTGCAACGCGGTCTAGGTTTGCCTCTCCTGCTCAACAGTTAGTAAGGATAAATTGAGCATGGGATTTCACAGGGACAGGAGAGATTCTACTTATCTGTGTTGGAACTTTTCGAATTAGAAATTACCGCAGAAAGCGACAGAATATGAAAGGTGAAACATATAATTCGAAGCCGGAAGAAGGTTATAATGAATACGGCATGAACAAACCGGAGCTTGAAGGGAGCAGACCGCTCCCGGTTTATTCTAGCAAAGCCGAACTGGATGCGAATGCAACACGCACAGAACTCGAGGGGCATATTACAGGAGAGATGGACGGGGTTGGAATGATGGCAGAGCTGGAGGGTTAAGGAATGATAGAACTACTGCACACCTCTTAAGCACCATACGAAGCAGATAGAGAGGAATACACTATTCGAAAGCGCTATCTTATGGCAACAGGGTTAATCGAGACTATATTCGCCTTTGCCTTAACAATACCCTAGCTGAGTCCTAGATAGATACGTACTCTTGGCTAACTATCCAAGTTCGTTCGAGTCACCGCGGAATCGGATGGAGGGAACGACGTAAGAATGTACTTGCTACCTGATTGGATAGTTGACCTGGGCTATGTCATCCTTTGGTATCACTCCGCATGTGGGTGTAAGCATCGGTGCAACGCTGGCTGCGGTGTGGTGATATTGGAACGACCGAGTCTACAGCATTTAAATCGAAGAAAGGAAGACGACTGTGTGCGACTCGGTTTCCACATCTTCCTTTCATCAATTTCAAGAATGGGCGAAAAGGACGCGCTGCTAGTAGACCGTCTCGAAGCCTTTACGGCTGCCGACTTCAAGGGCCATGAGAAGGAGCGGCTACAGCTGATAGCTAGTGCGCGTAAACTTATCAGTCGGCTGGAAACGGACGAGGAAAAGTTCTATGCCATTTCTTTCTCCGAGCCAATTATTTATGCGGCATTAAAAACGTGCATCGATATCGGACTATTTCACGGATGGGCAGCAGCAGGCGGAGGCGAAGAATCGCTCGAAGATATTGCTAAATTGGCTGCAACGGACTGCGACTTGAATCTACTCCGTACGTATACTTCGGTGCCTTTCTAGCTTGCGATCGTGAAGTTAATGATTTCAAGGGCGCTTACTTCGCCTCCTTGTATCTGCGAATATCATCGAAGAGACGGGTGAGGATCGATACAAACCTACTAGTTTCTCATTATCAATTGGCGATGGCTCTACGCTCATGGCGCAGGCCCTTATATCTAGGTGAGACTTGCATTGGAACAAGCTTACTCTGCCAAGATGCTGAATCCTTTATCAAAGGGCCCATCACTGGGACACGTGCAGCATGAATTTCCCGTCGTTTCTGGCTGAGACTTCATATCGAGAACCCCTGGACTCAAAGAATACGAATTACCACAAGTCGTATCCAGAGGGACTGCCCTTCTTCGAAAGAGGCCTGTCAAAACAGATTTACCAAGAGAGTTGGACCGGCTTCATGACCGTGTGGGCAAAGTACAAGATACCATGGCCGGAGTTCTATGATACAGCGTCACTCATTGATGGGGCGGATCTCTCCGACGGCAAACCATTGCTTGTCGACATAGGCGGTCACCACGGCGTCGACCTGCTTACGCTTCCGGATAAACATCCAGACCTTCCAGCTGGCTGTCTGATACTCCAAGACCTTCCGGGTGTTGTCTCAGACTTGAATCTTACTACAGACAAGATCAAGATCATGGGTCATGATTTCTTCGAACTTCAGCCGGTTCATGGTATGTTGGCCTACCCATCATTGTCTAACAGAGATGCATGGTTACCTGTAAAGAAGTCGCAACTAATACATGACGTTTGCGATAGAGAGTCGAGCGTACTTCTTCCATGCGGTATTGCACGACTGGTCGGACTCGGTCGCGATTAAGATCCTGCGAAATATCGTCCCGGCAATGAAGAAGGGATACTCGAAACTTCTCATATGCGACATTGTGATTCCGCCCACAGGTGCAAGCATCTACCAGGCGGTCATGGATGTCAACATGATGTCGCTTTTATCGGCTTATGAGAGGACGGAAGTGATGTGGAGAAAGCTGATAAACGAGGCGGGATTTAGGATCATAAAGATATGGAAGGACCCACGTGATTTTGAAGCCGTGATCGAGGCAGAACTGGCATGAGTTTTGATATTTCAGACAGTGGTCTTGTGGTTCAGCTCATGGCGTTTGGAAGTGCCAGGTGTATGTGATACAAGTCTCCTTTGCAATTAATACGTGGATTCCAAGGAGATAAGTGATTGAATATTGTGGTTTCAACAAGGCAGAGTCATTTCAAATGTTTGGCACATATTCAAAACTCGGCAGCTCATGTCTTGAATCAAGTGAGGCATTAATTCGTTGTGTACTCTCGTTCGGTTGGTGATCACGGAATGAAAAAATAGGGGGAAGCTTTCGCCGGGGATGAGGGGTAAAGGAAATATCAGCCCCTAGCTTAGCTAAGCCAAAGCGGGCCGCGCTCGCTAATGTGGCTGGAAAAGAAGGTTATCTGTGACCTAGCCTAGCTCCCTAACTTAGCTCCCTACTCCGGCTTGATCCGGAGCTCACACGAACTGAGGATTGCCAGCCTCAAATCGCCAACTACACAGCAACCAGAAGCTTCTTCGCGGCTCAGGAATTCAATCGATAACCAAATTTCTCGTACCTGTTATCCCAAGGATATATAAAGTAAAACAATATGGAGTATCCAGATGTTCCCGAGCGCCCATCTCCGTCACCTCCACCTTCTCCCATCCTGGACCGGCCAGCGTCGCCCGAACTTCCACTCACTATGACTGCATCCGCCGTCCTCACGGCCCTACCTCATGACGCGACTTCAGCTCTGGCCAGCGCGGGCGAGTTCGAACAGGAGAAGATCCTCGTCCGTTTTAAGGCTGTCGGGTCCGCTCCGCAGCTCAAGCGCGAAGTCCGGCGCATAACCGCGACTCAGAAGTTCGAGGCTGTTGTGTCTCACCTGCGTAGAGCACTGCGCCTCAATCCGACCGATGGTCTGTTCCTCTACGTGAACAGCGCATTTGCCCCCGCTCTTGACGAAATCGTCGGCAATTTGCACAGGGTGCGTATAATATTTCGTGGGCTACACGTCTGTAGAAGCTAATGCACATCCAATAGTGTTTCAAAGATTCAAATGATCAGTTGATTGTAGTCTACTCAATAACCCCTGCGTTCGGATGAGCTGCATCAGGGCGTAAACACAATCATCTCCGTGGTATTTCCCCCATACGCCTATTCATGCTGGTAGATTAAACCCGATAAAATGGACTTGCGCCTTGTATCCTCTAGCAGCCTGGCATCAGATGAAGCCCTACCAAGCGAAGGAAATAGCGTCATAGCTTCTCGACATCCCTCGCAAACGCCTCAAGCTCCTCTCTAGGGATAGGATAGGTATGCTCGCGTGCTGGATATTGGCGGCTTTTCACCTCTTCCCGGTAGGATTCGATGGCTCGAAGGCCTTCGGCCCACACATTTCCGTACTGTTTGACGAATTTGGGAATGAAACGTCCGGGCGGGAAATACCCGGACATGTCGACTTGAACGAGCACCTGGCCGGAGCATCCGTTACCAGCTCCAATTCCGATGGTCGGAACGGAAAGCTTTTGCGTGATGATGCTCGCAATCTCCGCTGGCACCGCTTCCAATACCATGCCGAAGCAGCCTGCTTCTTGGACGGCAAGCGCATCTTCGAGTACTCTCATGGCACTTTTCGACGTCTTTCCCTGGACACGGAATCCACCAAGAGCATTCTGACGCTGAGGCGTGAGCCCGACATGCGCCAAGACGGGAATACCAGCCTGAGTTATTTTCGCGATGGTTGGCGCCATCTCTTTCCCGCCTTCTAGCTTGATGCTCTGGACACGACCATATTTAATGAATCGTATGGCCGTTTCTAGGGCTTGCTCTGGTGAGATCTCATATGATCCCATAGGAAGGTCCCCGACCTTATATTCCGTCAGCATTGTGTCTCTGCGGGTGCTAATGGTAGTCTTACTGTGAAGGCAGCTCTAGTGGCACGTGCGACTGATCGACAATGAAGCAACATGTCTTCTACTGTTACTTCACTGGTGTCAGCCATACCCAATGCGACCATAGCTAAGCTATCGCCGACGAGTACGACATCCATTCCCGCTGCGTCTGCGACGTGCGCACTTGGAAAGTCATGGGCAGTCATGACGGTGATTGGTTCCCCCTTTTTATATAATGACTGGAGGCTTCCCAAAGTTACCTTCTTCCTGGGGGGGTCTATTGTTAGGCCTAGAGGCGAATGTGAACTCCATCGCTTCTGTTGGGATCGCTGCTGGTGATACAGCGATAGCGACGGTCTAGGAATTGCAAAGACATGCATGTCCCGACATAGCAATGAAGCACGTGACCTTGACAAGAAGTGCGCCATTTGTATCGATGCGTTGATGAGAATTACGAATTGAAGAAAATGAAATGCGCA